CCCTTCCCCCTCCCCAACTTTATTCTAAACTGCTTGACATAGTCCGAAACAAACGGGGTCACTTTTGGCGTCATATTGGGGACCATATTGGGGTTGCAGATACAAGAAACAACTGCGACGTGATACTCGTTATGCGACAAAGCGTGGGGGTTTATAATTGTATCACGGCGCGGTGGAATCAAAACCTCGTCAATTTTTTGGGCATATAGTGTTATTCGATTTGATTTTGAAGCAAAAATACACGTATATCATAATTAGAAGTCGAGATCGGCTCACTTGGTATCAGAGATCAAATTGTTGAGAAAATGGCAGCCAAAATTTGGTGACCTCCAAAGCGAAAGTGTTTTTGGCAACTGCAGAATTACAATTTTTTTCCTTTAATCAACTGTTTTTCTTCGTAAAGAACATAACAGCTGTTTGGTCTTCCAAAAAAATGGGAAGAATTGCCTAATGGGCGGAAAAAAGTGCCAGTTTCTTGGATTTCTTTATTTTGACGAGCGCCTGATTCCACCACGTTGCATCACAATTTGATTGAAGTACTTGGTACTAAGGCATAACATCCGGGGCTATCGTGGGGGGGTTTACACTAAGGTTGTAGTTATGTCTTACAGGAACAAGAAGCAGTGAACTGTGATCATTGTGATGTGCGAAGACAAGCAGGGTTATACTTTACTTTTAACCACTTGTCTATATATGTATATTATTATATTCTAGTTCTTGGTCGTCACGAGCAATTTCAAAGGAAGGTTTGTAATTCTTGAAAATTCTTAAAACAAGTTCACGTTTTTGGAAATGGAGAATCCAGTGCCTGCCTAAAGTGTTGTGTTAGTGGAACTTTCCAACAGTTTTGAAAAAGGAATGGGTGCTACAGCTCAGAAGTTCAATATTTTGAGCTGCAAAAGTCTTTAATCGTTAGTGGGGAAAAAGAAAATTCACTTGGTGAAGTATAATATGCTTGCAAATACGGTACATTGTACTTGCTATTTTGCATTACATAAAGTGAAGACACTTTCCAGGATTCTCAGAATTATACGTGATTTTATCAATAGCACTGGTCGGGAAAAAGGATACGTGGTGAGACATTCTGCTGCCCTTGACATTGTGTCCAATCCTGTGTCACTTCCGCATTTCTTCTTCACAAAAATTGTCACCTGCACTTGGGAGTCCTTTTTCAAAATGGCTCACGGTTTTTCTTTAGATATCACCTTCTGAGTGACTCTCCTATTTTCCATGGTCTTGCAGTTGCAGTCCATTGTAGGCGTTAAAGAGCCTCAGATGGAAATTGACAATATGCTGATGTCTTATCTGATTATTTTTATTGCCCGATTTCGTTCCTTCAATTTTATTCATATCATGTCATGAAGAGATTTTTGTACATTCAGTCGTGTTTTTTACCTCTTCTTTTTCGTTCTCGAAGAGTCATGGTCATGCTTAAGTGTTTGTGTGTGTTCTTATGTGTGTGTTCTTGTGTATGTGTGTGTGTTCTTGTGTATGTGTGTATGTTTGTGTGTGTTTGTGTCTGTGCGTGTTTGTGTGTGTTTGCACTCATGTATGGGTGCGTATTTGCGTGCGTATATGT